AGTTTTCCATGCTCCTCTGAGATCCACCTGTCCATCAAGCAGAATGTCACTCCTTCTTCTCATTTTTTTCATTTTCTGTCGCTGCCTCTCAGGAGAACCTTTAGAGGAAATAGTTTTCTCAATCCACCCACTCTTCAGCTCGTCACAGATTTTTTTAATTTTTTGACAGAAAACACAGTTAGATGGTTTTAATGTTTAATCCTTAACTCTTAGATTGGTTCACTCCGTACTCATCTACTTCAGCTAAGCAGACTTGTTTTCCACTCGTTTTCCTTACTGTTTTATTTTCCAGCTCTATTTCCCACACTTTCGTTTCCTCAGATAAATAATCATTTTACCTTGATTTTCCAAAACTTGTGAGTCTGAAACAATTTCCAAAAGAACGTTTTCTAAATGTTAATATATCTGATGAAGCTCTCTGGTTCAGAGAAAACATCACTCATCTCTGTGAGTCTTTGCTTTTTCACCTCCCACTTTGAGCTCCTCCCCATGATGCTGATATGACCAACGAGGTGTTTTTAGAAATAATTTACCTCAGGGATAACTCACCTGGGAGGTACGATTGTCTTTCTTTCAAAACTGAAAATAAACCATTTCAATAGTTAAATGTACCTTTTGAGAGATGGAGTTGCCTCACCGGACAAAGGAAGTGAAGAGTTAGTCACAGAGAATTTGAAAAAGGAAATTTAAAATTTAATGTCTAAAAATCTGTGAAAAATTTATAAAAAGGCCTAAAGAATAGGAATGATTGATGTGAGGAGGGAAAAAGACAAAGTCTGATTGAAATTAGGAGATTTAACCTTTTTCAGACGCTGGTATCAGACGTGGCCAACAGCTAGGGCCATGTATGGGGTGGGGTCAAATGTAGGGCGGGGTTAAGGATGAAAAATGTCAGCTTTTCCTGATAAAGTGCATCATTTTTTATAAGAATATCCCAGTTGTAATAGCAGACATAAAGCCACTATTACTTTATTCATGACTTTAAAAAAATGTTGAATAAGGAAGACTTTTTTTTAATTACATTGATTTCGAGCCAGTAGTGTGCCACGTACAGAATAATTTTAACAGAACATATAAAAGACAGTATCTGCATGTGATATATTGAGAAAATTGCAACGGTTAACATAGAGATAGTTATTATTAGCAATAGTATTAGTAATATTTAGTATTAGTAATAGTTAGTAATGCATGGATCTTAAAGAGCAGGACAAGTGTGCCTCAGAGTCCTTCTCCACCCACGTATCAATTTTAAAAACTGCAACATTAGTAGGCGTTGCCTGGCGGACCGAGAGGGCGGAGCCGCGGCAGTGACGAAGACGATGGGTAACGAGACGATGCTAGCTCCCTTCACTGTGAGCAGTCATTAGAAGTGGAGGACGTTTCTCCCCCTCCTTACCCAGACACTCGAGAAGAAAGGGACCAAGTCTATTTGGAGGAGATAAGCGGACCTGAGCCTTATTGTTTAGAGCTTGTGAGTTGCCTGAAACTACCGAGAACGACCCAACAGAACCAGCTCTGAATGGTAAGTAGCCGTTAGCCATAGCATTAGATTAGCTGCAGGGTTTGGCTCCACGGCCCTAGAGAGCTAGTATTCAGCATGTTTTAGAGAGTTATCTGCTTCAACACACCTGGTTTTAATCAGCAACAAATAGCTGAGCTGCTTAACAGCTAATCTAACCTGTTAAAGCAGGAAAACCACTGAAACGTGCTGGATAGCAGCTCTCCAGTAGCCCTGGGCTCAAGTTACAGTCTGCTGCATAGAAAGTTATGAAAATACCCCATGAGAAAATTCTTTATTGTGTTAATTTATGTTACACAATCCCAAACAGCCCATTAAAACTGCCCTGATTTCATTATTTATTTACTGATACCAGCTGCTCTCTTGGTCGTAAGTGATCCTCTGGTGTCTGCAGGTGGCCTCCTCTGCTGGTGTCGTCAGGATCAGGAGCTTCCAGAAGAATGTGCCTTTCAACGACTCTTTCCCCCTTATTTGTTATGTTAATTAAATAAATCTCAATTTATATATTTCCTGTTTTTGTCCATGTCCATAAATACTTCAACATGCTTGAAATTAAAACAAGCTTTTAACAGTGAGGTGCTAGTTTAATTAATCACAATAGAGCTAGTTAAACATGCAACAATGTGATAATTCAATTAATGTAATTTATAAATATCCATTAAAATATAAAAACTGGAATCAAAATGAGACATTTGGCAGCACAAAAAAACTTGCCAAACACAATATTTATTATAATAATTGTAGGCAGACAGGAGACAGAGCCGATGGAGGTTCTCAGTCATCGAAGGAATGCTTAAGGCTTTCCAGGAACAGGAGATGTGGTGTCTCTTCTCTCTCTATTCTGCCAGATGAGCTGATAGGTTACAGGTGTGTGAGGACATCCTCATGCTGTCACAACCAGATGACATGAGTTATCAGGTGATCAGCCAGGCTAATGATGAGATGCAGAAAGAAAACAAATCCAGGACAGTGTACAGTAATAACAATAATCTGTGGTGTTGCTCACCTTATGTGCTCTTATAGAGTATTAACGTGTGCCTGCCTCATGGTGTAGAGTCCATATTTTGCTGAGTGTCCTGCAATAATGCAGGTAATTAGTTAATTTACTTTTGATAGCAAAGAACAAAATATTTAATGTAAAAGTTATTTACCAGGTGAGTCAGCTCACACGTCACCACCAAGTGTCACAGGGGCAGAATCAGTAGCCTCCTTCATGATGTCATGATGCAATCACATACGTTTATTTAATGGTTAATATCTTAAAAATTCTGAAATGTTTTAATTTTTTTTACCTTGAACAGTTCACTGAGCTTGCACTGTCACTGAGGTGGAAGCTGAAATAAACAGCAGACACCTCACATCTTGATCTTTTCAGGGGTGTGGAGGCTGCTCTGGGACTTTCTGGAAGATGAATTTCCATCATGGTCCCTGTGTCACAAGACACACAGCGGCTGGGAGCTATATTCTGGCTGGCTATGTAAAAACAAAGCAGCAGCACAATTATAAATGTTTAAAAGAGCATAAAATCACGTGTAACAATAATCTGTTAAACAAATTAAAACTAGAAGGTGATAATAAAATGTTTACATTGACGATTATTAAAAATAATTCACCTTTGCTTCACGTCAGGCTGGACAAGTGCATTCTTGCAGACTACTAAATCAGTCTGACAGCCAACGTCTTGGGTAGATTTAGCCTGAAAAAAAAATAGAAGCACATTGTTGTTGGAGTTTATAAAGTCAGATAATATACAAAAGAAACTGTCCCATATAGGCGCTTTGATAATAATAATAATAATAATAATAATGCAATGAACTTGTATAGCGCTTTTCAAGACACCCAAAGACGCTTTCACACACTCTCACATTCACACACTGCCAGTGATGGTAAGCTACTTGTAGCCACAGCCATCCTGGGGAGGTCTTACAGAGGTGAGGCTGCCATTTGGTGCCGTCGGCCCCTCTGACCACCACTAACACAGGCAAGTTGGGTGAAGTGTCTTGCCCAAGGACACAACAGCAGGATACCCCTGGCGGGAACTGGAATCGAGCCCATGACCCTCCGATCATGAGGCAACCCGCTCTACCACCTGAGCTAAATGCTGCCCCAAACGCTTTATAACATTCCTAGTGTGTGATTGCTATTATAACATAAAAGTCAGTCACATATGATGTGAAGAGAGCCTGAAATGCGACCTCCTGAACAGAATTCCTTACAGAATCTGGTCACTCTGTGGTGTAAAGCTGGATTTCATGTTGTAATGCTGTCTGTCAACTAGTTAGAGCCACTGTTAGCAGAATTACCGACTGACAAAACAACAACCCGAATTTTCTCCGAGCCTGACAGTAATAGTCATGTGGACCGTTTCGTCAGCCAGGGCTTCGAGATATGTTCCTTATTCACCGCTGATTCTAAACTTACATCCCATTCCACATTTTGTGAACTTGACAAATCAGCCCAAAGGCAGTGCAGACTGATATTAGCTAAATTAAGTGAACCACGTCTCTCAAACTTTGCGTTTAGGCAGGGAATTGTCTTTAGAAGATGTTTAAACTTTTATTTAGCGTACCCACCTCAGACTGGAGCCCGCCGTGGTGGGGGAGCAGAGTCGGTGGGCTGCATCTAAATCGTGGAAGAGCCACGGTGGGCACGGCCTCCCTCTTCAAACGGAGACATGCAGAATAACCCAGTTCAAACTCCATCATGTTGGCGAAGGAATCGCTGGTAAAATGCTGGTTGCAAACTACAGCACCAGGTGGGAGCTGACTGTCTTCCAGACACGGACTGCGCACAATCACTGGTGCCTAATTTCTAAGTCCAGTGGAAAGGAGTGCAACCCCACAGAGCCGCCGAACCCACTACACCTTCTCACCATACTAACACGATATGGAACAGTAAACCCGAACTACTTTCCTAACAACACTAACAGCCAAACACTAACTAAACTACAATATCCAACATCCAAGCTAACACTAAATAGGTATGTATAACACTAAAAGCTATGCTAACGATTAGGATATGCTAATGCTATATGCTAATGCTGAACTACCGCTAACCTTCCTACACTCGCTTGCAAATCCAACTCCCAACTCGCCATAAGGCGTGGCCGAGACTCTCGATGCTTTTATAACTTTGACAAAGAGCCGCTACGTAGTACTCTACTGGTTTACGTAGTATCTTTCTCTTTAGCCATTGGCTAAAGTGTATTCAAAATGACTCAAACTCTATGTTTCAAGCTGAAGGTGGCACTATACTGTAGTATTTAGGCAGAATTTTTAATTTTTAAAGAAAATGCACCAAAATGCCAAAATAATGAATACACACATTTAAAACACTATTAGACACTCATTTATACAGTTCATCAGCAAAAAAAAGTTAATTTAGACGCTACTTGCTCTTTAATAAAACATACTTAGTTTCCAGACCAACTCATCTAGACTTGCTTACATAGTTTCTCACTAATATTACATTTTATTTTCTGATTCCCAAGAACCACAAATGTAGATGCTATTATATCAGGTGTCAGTGTGTTTACAAACCATGTTTTTTGTTGTCTCTAGATCATTTTAACAGTAAACACAAGTCTATTCAAATCCTTTCCTGGGTCAAAATAAATTTTATCACCAGCAAAAGTAAAATAAATATCTGTCATTTACTGGCACGAAGACTGACATGAAAATAGCATTGGACCAATGACCGATCCCTGTGGAGCTCCACAGTTGACTGAGCTCTGACACAATCCCCTCAGTCTGTACGCAGTTTTCTGTTTTGAGCCAAGTAAGAGGACTCAACACCTTCAGATAAAGAGGAATTTGGCAGAAGCATTGAGGAAATTTAAAATACAGTAAATTATGATGACTCCTCACAATAAAACACACCTGGTAAATGGATAAAACACAAACCATGAATACTAGAGAACGTGAGGGATCGAGGACAACAATGGTTTTAAACCAAACAATGAGGGGATAAAAAAACAGAAGAGGTAGAATAGTTAGAGGGGAAAGACTGAGGCGGCAAAAAAGGATGACGACGGTGAGAAATGGGGCAAGAAATGGCACAAAAACAAAAGGAAGCTGTAACATGCATGGAGAAACATGCTCCTCCACGCTGAGAAAATGCAGCCAGACACCTTTCTTGACAAGTCGAAAGCCTCAGGGGTTGGCCAAGGTGCTCTGACAATCAATGTCATTCACCACACACACACACACACACACACACGCACGCACGCACGCACACACACACACACACACACACACACACACACACACACACACACACACACACACACACACACACACACACACACCACCGAGTGCCTGTTTTTGAGTTTCTGGGAAAAAGGTTTTACCAACTGACAGTCTGTGTCAATCAGGATGCACTCCGATGATTCCAAATTCCCTAAATGCACTTTTATTCTTTGTTTCTGGTGTGTGTGTGTGTGTGTGTGTGTGTGTGTGTGTGTGCGCCCGCTGGTGGGTAGTTACATGGACTTGTCACAGGCTTTTCCTTTTCCATGCAAGTTTTGAATCATCGCCTTGTGAAAGCTTCACTAGAATCTTTTCTCGTCAACAAAAACGTTCAGGATCGATTCATCTGGCCTTTTTGGTGAATCACCAACTAAAGCATGTTTGTGGTTGAAACTCCTTCCAGGCAGAGAAAACACTCAGCTACATCTGAGAAACCAGATAAAATGACCACAGAGAAATGTTTCTGCGTAGAGATGAGGACGCTGGCATTAATCGAGTTGAACACAATAATCTTGACAGGACATGGTGCCACATTTGTAATCGTTTTTCCTGTTTCTCTGTCGTTTATCGAAGTTGTCAAATGTCCTTTGGCCTTCTTGCTGTACAAATTGAAGTTTCAACCTTTTATCAAATGAACCCTTAAAAAAGCAGTTGTCAGCAAAAGGGAAGTGTGGTTATTTAAGCTTGAAACAGTTCAGAAAAACCTTCATTAGACCTGAAAATTAAAGGTGGACGTGGTTTAATGTTGAGGCAGCAGCTGCTGCTGCAGTCGTCATAGTCATGTTAGATGAAGACAAATGAGCCGAAGTGATGAAGGCCAGCCTCGGTACCAGACAGGTACACTTACTGGTGACAGCACATCACGGGGGAAAGAAAAGATGAAAAGAGCAGCAATGAAAGAAAGCGCATGCCACTTGGGGTGGTGACAGCTCATCAGAGAGAGAATGACAGGAACGTTCGAAGGTCTGAACTCCAAAACATCCAGCTGAGAGAGAGCTGAGACCTTCTGCAGGTTGACTGTTCAATCTTTTGTTTATCACATCAACTACATTTCATATGAATACAAATCAGCTTTAATTCCCATAATTATAATGAATTTAGAAGCATTTCAGTAAAATAAAAGAACATGACTTCCTGAGCGTCTGACAGACCTTTTTAATTTATCATAATTAAACTCATAACTGAGGTAAATAATCGTAAACCTCTGAATCATAACAAATCACTGTGTCCTGTTAGAATTTCCTTCTTAAAGGTATATTATTACAAACTAAATTCAGAACAATTTAAATCTATTTTTGACTTCATGGCTGTTTTCATTCTTCTGTAGGTATGAAGGCTCACCAACCCTTTAACACCTAATTGGATTAAATTTAATTGGTGAGTCAGAAAAAATAAAACTGGTTTTATTCAAATATGCATTAAAACACGTTAAAAATCAAGTAAATAAAAAAGTAAATTATAATAAAAATTTTATGATTTAATATTAAGGACTAGTAATGGTTAAACAATATAAAATATGTGTTCAGACATTTTTATACAATTTAAAATAAACAATGTTACAACAGCAATACGTAGATTCCCCAGTAGGTGGCATATTTATGTTTGTCTATTTATTTGACTATTGTATCCAAAGCAACGTAGAGCATGTTGTGATCTGTGTGGGGGAAACCGGAGTACCGGGAGGAAACCCACACATGCATGGGGAGAACATGCAGAAAGGCCGCAGCCGAAGTTCGAACCTGCAACCTTCTTGCTGTGAGGCAACAGTGCTAACAACTGCGCCACCATACAGGTTTCTGAGGAACGTGCTAATCCTGTTAAAGAAGTAGAGCCCTTAGCAACACAACTGTAATGTCTGCTGTGATTTGTATTTTCAGATTTATCAACTAAAACTTTACTTTAAGATAAACGACCCACACTTGTATACAGTAGCACCTTTCAGAGTCTGAGGACTCTAAGGCGCTTTACTACAGTGTATCATTCATCCATTCACACCCTGTGGTGATGAGCTACAGTGTAGCCACAGCTATTCTGGGGTGAACTGACAGAGGTGAGGCTGCTGAACACCACCAGCAGGTGATGGGGGATTAAGTGTCTTGCCCAAGGACACAATGGTAACATTCTCTGGAGCGAGCCAAGATCGGTCCTACAACCTTCCAATTACTGGACAACTCATTGTAAAATCCAAAAATTAGAATTAATCCAAGTCACGAGAGAACGAGCAGAGATAAGCGAGGGCTAGAGACTACCAGTCAGTAGTTAAGCATCCAGCGTCGAGTCATGTCCACCTTCCTCCTTATAAACCAGCCCGCTGATCAGCTGATTGGAAACAGCTGTTGCTCCATCTCCTGAAACCAAAACACTCAGAGATAGTGAGATGATGAGACGAGTACTCACCCCGGCTCATGACAGTGGAATCCGCTTCCCCAGGACCTCAGATCTGCCCCAACTCTAGTGTTGTTTAAATCAAGACTTAAAACCCTAATGTACTCATCAGCCTTTCAATGAAATGTTTCTTATCACGCGTCGTCTTTGCCGTAATCTGCACTGTAACTTTGTCTTCTCCTTTAGCTCTAAACTGTAATTCTATTTGTGTGTATTTTAATTTGTGTTTTTACATTTTTATATCATGTCCTGATAATTGTAAAGCACTTTGAATTGCCTCTGTGTTTGAAATGTGCTCTATAAATAAAGCTGCCTTGAGTGATTTCTGATTTATTTGTTTGTCTTTGGTAACTGAAGGCCTGACTCGGTTGAACATCCTGTTTCTTTTATCTTCTCAGGAAACTAAAATCAACTGCGTCCGTCTGGCCCACAAAGGTATGAGCACCCTTCCACCGACACTCCTATCCTGACCTTTGACCTCCTCCCCGGAGGACTTTATTTATTAGGTTATTATGAACACATGTTTCTGTAGACTGATGAGACGAACACTCACACAAACTACTGAAAAAGGCCATCCTGCATGCTTTCATAGCTTCTCTTCTCTCCTCCAGTTGTCTCATCTTCTCTTTTCTCTCATATTTTCTGTTATTTGTGGTTTGTCCGCCTCTCTTCCTGCATCTCTGCTCTCATCCATGTTGCCTCCTACAGACTCCTGTTGAACCAGCATCATTAGACCCGATGGATGAATGCTAAAGCCTGCAGAAGCACCCTCCTCTGTCTCTCCATGTCTCCAGTCTTTATCTGTGGCTCATCCTTTGCAAATGCACCCATTTGTGTGCTGGTCAATGTGCTTTGAAAGCTTTCTCAGCTCGCTATTGATTTTTGTCACCTTCTTTTTTTTCCATCCAATTTTTCATCTGCATCAAGCATTGATTTGATTTTTCCACTCCTCCCGTCTCTTTCTGTCTCATCCACACTACATCAGGCTTTTATGGCTCATTTCTGCACATTTTTCTCCTTTATATCATTTTTTTCTGACTCCATCTTCTACACCCAGAGTTTTCTTTCTTTTTTTAAGTGCTGAGTAATTTGGGTGTAAACACAGTGCGCTGACTGTTGGGAAAGACACTTTTTTACTTTGATGCTGTCCACTTTTAAATCAGCAGCCGTTTTTTATTTTAAGTATTTCAGGAGTTCCACAAAACTCTAAATCTAATTTTCATTATCTTACAAAAGTTCTGAGGCTGTGCAGATGGCTAATTTAATTTTCTAAGAACAAACATTTAAACCTTCCTGTCAGCTGACCTCAGCAGCCCTCACTCAGATCGGTCCATTTATTGGGTAGAATTTATTTAATCATCATTGGTGGAGCAGCAAATCAAAGAACCAAGGTTTTCTGCAAATGAAGCCTCTGCAGAGCAAAATGAACGTGAAAAACAGGATGAACAGGATGGTAGCACTTGTGATAATCACTAAAGAAGCTCAGAATGTAAAATAAACTAACACAATGAATCAAGAGCTTTCTACAATTCTAGATTTTTTTTGGAATTTTTCATACTTAAGGTCAAAGATTTCCTTTAGTTTCAAACTCAAACAGCTCAGGTTTACTTTGTGTTTGAGCTTCGTTTCTTTATTGGCCTCCATCTTGGCCCTAAGAAACATGTCCTATCAGCTTAAAATGAAACCTTTTCATGTTTCTGTCAAGGAGAGTCACCGTCCTCCTCTGTGCAAATAACAAGGCTTTCATTCTGACTAGAGACCACAGCAGATGTACCGATCAGACAAGTGAACCACATGTTTACAGCATTAAACTTTTACTCAATGATAAAAAAAAATCCAAGTTTCTGAATTGGATTTAACCATAAATTGTCCTCTAGTCTGACTTTAAGTAATCTTTTACTTGTTGCAGTTGCATCATGAAAACCTGGTTCTTAGGCAGAATTCAGCTGGTCAGATTATTTATTTACTTAGCCTGTGAAAACTCAACCAGATACCAGTATCGTAGTGCTTTGATCAGGCATCATGAAAGTTGTTTAATACTTTAAAGATCTTTTAAAACGACCAGTAAAAGAAACTTAAGGCTGAACACATTTGATTCTGAGATGAAGATGTGTTTTCTGGAGACACACAAGCGTGACAAAATATGAACATTTTCAATAGAAATTTCGGTAACACTTTACGATAAGGGTCCCTTTATTAACATTACTTAGTGCATTATTAATCATTAATAAACCATTAAATAAAGTGTTAACTACTGCTTTTTTGCATTACATAGCATTACTAAACATATTATTTAATGCATTATTAAGCAGTTACCTAAAGTCTATTACTGAACCTAAGGGTCCAAAAGTCATTCAATAATCATTAATTATGGTTAGGCAATGCTTAAGTAATGCTTAGGCATCTATTAAGCATTTAGAAAGTGTTTCCAAATGGGATCCATGTTTTTACTTTACCTAAGGTCAGGTAAAGGCTTCCTGATGACAAACACAGTACAGCATTAGTAGGACATTAATTAATTGTTTATTAATACCCATCCAAGTAACAGCTAAAGAGCAGGGTAGAATAAGTGGATGCATTAGTTGGCTGTTACTTATTGCTTATTTGCTGCAAATACACAACCACAATTAATGATAACTTTAATAATTATTAAGCGTTAACACATTAACTAACATGGCAATTAATACACATGATGCAAAAATAATGAAATAATGCAAGTGTTATTTAAAGCTTAATACTGCATTTTTCTAAGGTTCAGTAATAGACTTTAGGTAACTGCTTAATAATGCATTAAATACTGTTTAGTAATGCAATGTAATGCATAAAAGCAGTTGTTAACACTTTATTGAATGGTTAATTAATGCTTAATAATGCACTAAGTAATGTTAATAAAGGGACTCTTTTTGTAAAGTGTTACCGAAATCTCAGATTTGGATCTCACCTCACTTTTGTCTGGCCGAGACTTTGTGGGCTACAAAGTTCCTTTTATTCAAGCGTTTAATTTTAAATGTACCAAATCCTCCCAAACTTTGTCTCAACTTTCTGACATACGGACCTAAATGGAGACTGGTTCGAGATGAGTTCCAGATATCTTTCAGTGACATTTCAAGACAATAAAAAAAGGTTGTCATGACTTGAGAACTTGTCTCAGGGAAAGCGAGACCCTCGAACATTCTGAGACATTTTGGAAGCCTCTTAAGCGTTGTTCTGTCTCCGCTCAGAGAGAAACCGGTTTGAACCTGTAGTCAGCAGAACACAAACACCAGATTGTTTTTACTCAACATTTTCATGTTTTTAAATTCCCATTTTCTATATTTTTTCCATCCTTTCATTTCTACTTTCTTCCATTTCCTGCTGCCTTTAATGAACATGTCCGACCCAGCGGGCTCCTAACCCAAACACAGCATCTGCATTCTCACACCATTCCTCTGGTTTTGGACACATTCAGTACATCTCAGGGCCTGTTCCAGGTGCTGGGCCGCTCCTGTTTCGGCTAAAACACCCAACGTGAGAGTGCCTTCTCTCACCAATGCTGGAAATCTGATGAAATAAACCCATTTTTCTCTTTTCTTAGACTTTTTTCTTCTTTCTTTTCCTTTTTGTTGTTTGTTTTTGTCTCTCCCCTCTCTCTCTCATGCTTTCCGGCGGGGACGTGCGGCCCTTGGCCTTAGTGGTAATAGGTAGGGGACAAATAACAACGCCGTACATTCTAGTCATCCCAAGCGAAGGTGATTATTGCTTTCTAGGCAGAATATCTTCTTCCCCATGTTATGTCACCAAACAACCATAAACACGACGCAACACACATTCATTTGGTTGGTCCTTCCTCTTCACCTCCCCTTCCTCCATTATTTTGCCCTTTTCTCGGTTTTCCTCCGTTTCTTTGCTCCTCGGTTGTGGTTGCTCTTCATCATCGTCATCTGTTTGCATGTCTGCTCTGCTTTGACTGTTGCTGACTGTGGTTGAGCTCCTCATGTATGAAGGAACATGTCTGTGAAATGTTTCTGAAGTAGTCCATTTTTATGTTATCCTGTAAAACCTTTTCACATTAAAAAGACCAAAATGGGCTTCAAACAAAAATGACACTAAGAATTTCAGGTGAATTTTATCTTTTAATTATGTTTTTCATGTGAGGATCTGGGTGAGGCATGTCGAGCTTTTAAACTTTATTGAGCTCTTTGTTGAAACAAGCTTTCTCACCAAACCATCCCATCCTCTTCCTCTAAACGGGTCTCAGTTGCACTGAATTACATGTCAGACATTCATAAGTTTAGATTGCCCTAACATCATCCGTGGATCAGATTCAAAGCTGCGTTCTAAGTTTTGGAGCATTACAACCTCAGACCTGTTCCTTCTCCGTTTGGTCTCCTGTATTTATAACCATGGCCTGACCGGGGGAGGCTTAGTAAACTAAATTCTTACTGTACTTCCAAACCTCTGCACATTTTGTTTGAAGAGAGGAAACGCTAAATCTTTGAGCATTAAAAATGATTGTTGTCTTAGTTTGGAAATCTACTAGAAACTGGGAGCAGTTTTAGTTGGATGCTAAAAACAGAAAGTAAATCTGTGAAAAAGGCCCCAAAAAGTCATGATACCAATTAAACTAAATATAAATTGCAGCACTGACGTTTTTTTTAGAAACAAAACCATAGTTTTCATACACAAAACATAGTTTTAAAGATATTTGTCAATAAAACGTTGGGTGAAATTTTCATGTCACGCAGCTAAAAAAGGTCTTTTGACATTGTTGTGTAAAAGTTTTACATAATTCCCATTAGGGCTGAAGTGAATCAATGAATGATCCGAATGGTTAAATTCATTAAATTCCTCGATTGAAAGCTTTGTTAAATGTGCACACCACGGTCTTAACACATTTAACTGGTGCACTATGTGGTGAGCTAGGTGCTGTGGACGAAATTTAATCCATTGTTTATCCTTTTATTATATTGCAGCGGACCACAGTCTTGTTTCACTTGAAATGTCGTCAAAGAGAATATTTGATTAATCGATCGAGGATTCAATAGAATATTCAAATACTATGATATTTGGTAGCTGCAGCCCTAATTCCCATAGTACATCCTCCTGAACAGCCTCAGCCCAGAGAAAGGTTTTTTGTCCATCAGGACTGACCAGCTGACCGCTAGTCTCGAACCCTTTTCAGATAGACATTCTGGAATATGTGTGGACAATTCAATCCAGTTTTTAACCGGAACTGTGGTTTCAGACACACCACTTTTGTACCGGAACTTGTCCTTTCGGCTGCCTTCACACAGCAGGGAAAAGTTCCAGATGTCATTTACCCAAACAAAGTCATTCAGTCAAACATGGCAGACGAAGAGATAGAATTCCTCTCACTGATCGGACTTAAGTTAAGCATAATTCTGCGCACACAAAGACGCATAAGAGACCTGGATGATGAAGCTCAATGGTTAAAAGGAATCACTGAAGCGGTGTGAAGCGCTCCGTCGCGCGTCTAGACGGTACCGTAGGAGGCGAGCTGCCATGGTTTGCCGCATGCTACAGCAGCGGGCTATCTAGGTGCGCACAGCGTCCCCCGGTCCCCTCCTGCTCCCCCTCCTCCCTGTCCGGAACTCAACCTCACCAGTCTGAAGCAGCCACCTTGTCCGTAACAAGTCCGGACCTGTTACTAGGGGCTTCGTCCGGTTTAATTACAGAAAACGTTATCCGGATGTTTGTATTCAGACACAAAGGTCTTACGGACAGAGTCCGGAACATTTCCGTTTTTCATGGCCTGTCTGAAGGGGGCTTCAGTGTGTTGCTGTTCTCATTCTCTCGGACCTCAGAATCAGCAGAACTGATGCTATGAAGAATATTTAATTATACAAGAGCTGAAAAGTGGATGGTGCATAAAAAAGCATCTCGATGTCAAAGTGAGTCTTTGTTTGTTTGAACTGCTGAGATGTGAGCATGAAGTCATCCAACAATATGAAGCTCTACACAGTGACCAGAAAAAAGCAGACAGATCAGAACCAAACCAAAACGAGACCCGTCAGCGTCACACAAACATTAAACAGGAAGTAAAGACCAGCTCTCTGTAGTTCACAGGGCTTACCAGTATGTCCAGCTTGACTTCATTTACATTTGACATTTAAGCAGGGCCGGCCCAATCCTTTATGGGGTCCTAAGAAGATTTCCTTTTGGGCCCCCCATACCAACATGTCAACATCAGATGAACATACGCTCTACCATTAGTGTCTTGTAATTATCTTACCGCATACAGATGCTATTTTAACTTTACACGAGTAGCGATCCAACAAAGTCCAATTAAATAGCTTTTTGAAAAGCAGTGTGCTATTTGAGTGTGTTATATTAATCTGATCTGAAATCATAGTCAACAGCAGAGATCGGGAGCTGAGCGTTGTTGTCCTCTGATATGGAACAATGAGAGATACTGATTGGGACATCTATAAGTCTGACTCATCGACATATAAAAATATGGACATAGCACGATCATTTGTTAGCGCTGAAGTCACGTGGCTCTGATGCTCATTAATTTGTCAGAATTGAAGCATTTCATTCCACCTAAACAGAAGAGTTACAAAAACATTCACCTCCATCAGAGTTGTCATGAATGTAAACTAGATCTATTAAACCTAAAATGGGTTTTTGAACCAGGCTGTAAGCATGTTTATTTCTTCTGTGAAATTGGTATTTTTAACATGGGAGTCAATGCATAAATTAAAAAAAAGATTTACTGTATGGAGTCAGAACTTAGCTATACAACAACAATAAGAAAAAGAGCAAAAATATTTTAGTTGGAAGAATTCAAGCTCACTATCACCCCCCTAACCCTTGTCATTGGCACATTGCTGTTACGTGTCAGCTTCAATTCCCGTTCCCATTAGTCCTTAAGTCAGGTGTAATTGAGGATGTGCGGACTCCAGAGCCATGCAACTCTGATGCAACATGTTGCTTTCCTTCGCTGAGAGTGTGTGACTGCATGTTAAAGGTGGAATATTGAATAAATCATGTCTGGATTGTTTGTTTTGACTTGCACTGCCTCTGACTTACTTTTCCTTGCAACCGACTCTTTTTCTTTTCGAGTAGTGACAAGCTGTTTGCTGCTCACTGAGTCAGTTTGCCCTCTAAATTTGCAGCAGATTGAGTCAGACTGTTAAAAAAACCTTCAGAGTGTTTGTAGGTGAGTGTCTGGGAATGACGAGACATTTTAAGGGTGCAACACCAACAAACAAAGAAGAAAGTGTTTTTTTAAACCGCTTCCCAGTCAACATCCAACATTCAACAGAGTGTAATGTTGACACAGGAGAGGAGATCAAACGGGTCCAACACAGACGTCCTTTTTACCAACAAATATCAGCAAAAAATCAGCACAGATTGACTCACGTACATGAATTATTTTAGTTGTTTTTCTCCGTCTCTGGCTTTGCGTGAGCAGACTATTGTGTTTGCTTCAGTCTGCAGCAGACAGACGCTGTGGCAAAGCATCCGTCTGCTCCATCCAACAAGCATCCAGTAAAACTCAGACACAGGCTGTGGCATTCATCTGTGTGATGTTTTCTTCTTGTAGACTTCCAAGAATTAGAAACAGACACGGTACATTGAGCTATCGTAGCTTTTCTTCCATTTATTCTCTTACTCTCGTTCCATACACCGCTCTTTACATCCCGCTCTACTTCCCTCTGGTGCCTTCACTGATTCCCCGTAACTATGAACATTTACTAGCAACGCTACATCAATCCCTTTTTTTTTTTCTTAACAAGCAGAAATGAATCATTAACAAATAACGGACCTAGATGGGCAAACTTCACTAGACTTATTAGCCATACCATTAACAAGCAAAACTTTAACCATGCGTGTTTACTATCATGCCAGAACATAGGCTAAATGTAGAAGACTACAGTATGGCTAAAGACAACATCTGCACAGAGCAGAATGGTAAACTTTTATCATGCATTCAAACACATTCCTCCATACAATGGATGAACTTAACTGCAGCTAATGTGAGGCACTAAAGTAATGCAACACAGAACAAACTCAAAGATACTTTGCTGTCCATCCTTGAATTTATTTTATTTTTTTTGCGACCAAATGAACCTGGCTTGACATAATCGTCCAAATATGCTGGGCGTCTCCTGTGACGCTGGCAAGGAGACCTTGACGATGGGCCAGCAGCGTTGTCGTCCTCGCTGCAAGTGCCAGGGGAGGAAGAATGGGTACCAGCATTAAGCTTTTTGAAGAATGAAGAGTTCCTCGTGATCGTATGTCCATTGGCGCTGGCAGTGACCATCGAGCCGTTGATGTCTATAACAACATGCGGGTCACAGTTGTAGGTTGCCATCAGTTTACTGCGTTTAGGCTGTCGGTAGATGACACTGTCGCCAAGGCTGAGGGCGCTTGGCTTGGGATGACGCCGTGTGTCCGCAGTGAGTTTCATCTTTGCTGTTGAAACCCTGTCTCGATCTCTTATCATAGGGTCATTGGCGTTCTCCACAGCCGTGGAAAAATTTGGAATCTTGGTATACATTTTGCGCTGAAGCATGAGCTCTGCAGGAGACGCTTCCGTGGTGCTGTGTGGGGTGGAACGGTACTCCCGGAGGAATGTAGTGATGGTTTGCTTCCACGGGATGCTTTGCCCTGCCGACACCCGAACTGCTTTCCCAAGCGTGTGCATGAAACGCTCAGCTGTTACATTTGCTTGCGGCCGTAGGGATGTTATCTTCCTGTGATGGCAGCCCATGTGTTTCAG